TTGCGTCACACCCTCCATACGGAGCCTCCGACCACATTTTCAAATCAAGCATAAATTGGCTTTTTGGATTAGTTCACTGAGATGGGCGCCAACAGCCTAATGACCAAAGGGTCGACTAATTGGGGTCAGCCCTAGAGTGTTCTGTATTTAATCTTCAACAGCTAACATTTCTAAAAACATGTTTTCACTTTCTCATTATAGGTTATTTTGTGTAGATGGGTGAGAATCTATTTAATCCATTTTGAATTCAGGCTGTGTAACAACAAAATGGGGAATAAATCAAGGGGAATTAATACTTTCTGAAGGCACTTTATAGAACAATACAGTTGACAGTCACACATAATGTAGGCTATAAACTTATTACAACTGGAGCAGGCCAATCCTGCTCCTGGAGGTATGCTGGGTGTGCAGTCTTCTGTTCCAGCCCAGCACTAACACACCTGATTCAATTTATGAGTAGATAATAATGTGTATTATTGCTAGGCACGCAGTAGATCAGGGAGTAGCGGAAGGTTGGCCACCTCTGCTTCAGTAATAATATCCTACTTACTAAGATGTCTAACATTTACAAACGAGTTAGCTTATATTTACAATTTGAAATTATATGTTGATTCATTCAATGTTGATTCATTGAAGTGAAATGTTTCAAGATTAATTTGTGTCAATGTTCATTAATCACAGATACAATTCTGCAATAAAAAGGGGTAAAGGGGATCTGTGTTTAATTTGTCTGTGTTGCTTTCTCAAGTGAACATGACCTTTTTTGCCTGATGGCATTACTGGCCTAATGGGCATGTGCAATGTGCCCCTTGTCATTGTACATCTGAAGCAGAGAATAGCTAAACTCACACTTATTGTGCATATTGTTGAGCTAGCTATATGTTCTCAATTTAAAATGATACCAGTAGATAATGTATATGAGGCTAACCATAAGCCAGATGTCCTACATTATTTTTCTGACATTAAATTGTTGAGTGCAACTCCAACCCTTGTATTCTAGGTACGGTAATGTTAATCAAAATAAGGAGCTGACAATTCGTAGGCTAATAAAACATGTCAAAAAGGGAAATAATGGGGTGTGGGGAGCATTGTAATTCTACCTTGTTTATTTGCTGAACATTATTTTATAATACAGAGACAACCAGAAGGTCAATGTCATGGAGGATTGCAGACGTTGGTGTTGGTGATGGGTGAAGAACGATTTGCACAACAATGTTTGCAAGTCAAAGCCACAATTGCCTTTACCCAAAGTACCTATTCATGTGCATTTTATATGTAGCCCTTTGATGATTATAGCTCACTTCCTGTAAAATACAATGTCATGACACAGGTATAATGAAAGAGCCATAAGCTATAATATATGAGAATCATAATGTTAAGATACCATAATCCAATTGGCAGCATATTACATAGCAAATTCATGATGTGTTTCATTTACAATGTTATAATGTGTGTTACAGGTGACTTCTATCCTTTGGTGGGTGAATTTCACAATTTAATTTAGTCAACACATTCACAAATGGTGGCTTTGATCACAGTTTTGAGGTTTAGGTTGAATGTGGTTCATAGCTAGCTAGTAGTGATGGGAAGTTTGGCAATTTTTACTGACTGAGAATTAATTGCTGGAAGACAGCAGGTCAAACGAATGACAAATGAACGAGTCACTGAGAAAAAATAATCCTGACTCTCGAGTCAGTAAAAATAGTTGTTCAGAAAGAATTAATCGTTCACAAACTGTACTTCACTACTAGCTAGCAGCACAAGCAAACATTGTGTACATTTCTCTTCACCCACCATCATCAAAAATCTCTGCAATCCTCCTTTAAGCAATTGGCCTTCTGATTTTGTCTCTGTATTCTAGTTAAGCGACAAAAAAATAAGCTAACATTTAGTGAATAGTTATGCTGTTTTTTAGTCATATTTCTTGTTTGTTTCACAAAAAAATATATTTTGCATCTTCAAAGTGGTAGGCATGTTGTGTAAATCAAATGATACAACCCCCCCAAAATCCATTTTAATTCCAGGTTGTAAGGCAACAAAATAGGAAAAATGCCAAGGGGGGGTGAATACTTTAGCAAGCCACTGTAGATGTCTATGATTGATTTAGATTTGGTCCAGTCACTAATCATGTTTGGTCCAAATCATGGCCAGTCTGGACCGGACCAAAAACCAACGTCTGTAGATGTTGAAATCAAAGCCATGGCGGACTGACCAAATTTCAACTACGATGTCCGATGTTGGTCGGTGCTGGTTACAGTAAATGGAAAGAGGTGGCTCATGGGTAGGTGTCAGTAAGAGCCGGGAGAGGTAACATTAACTGGAGAGAGAGAGAGAAGAGGGAGAGAGGGAGGCGTTGTCCAGACTGTTTTCACACTCTTGCTTTAACCACCAGACGACAGAAAGATAAAGAAAACAGTTATGAACTGAACATAACTGTATGCCAGTGGAAAGGAGGACCGTAGCAGGTAACCCAACTGTGGTTTGTGACTACTATGATTTCCTATTGTAGCCAATTAAAATCATAACGGAAGTACTGTAATTGTTCTGTAATTCTGTTAGCGATTTGGTAACAGAATTACGAGTTTTATTCACTTAATAATTCACAAACAAAAATTGGTATAAGTAAAAACACTAATTGGTAGGTCTACCTTTTACTTGTTACTTCTGGGAACTTTCATTATTCTCCCTCCTCATGAGGGAGAGAAATTAGAGAATATCTGTGTATACAGTGGGGAGAACAAGTATTTGATACACTGCCGATTTTGCAGGTTTTCCTACTTACAAAGCATGTAGAGGTCTGTCATTTTTATCATAGGTACACTTCAACTGTGAGAGACGGAATCTAAAACAAAAATCCAGAAAATCACATTGTATGAATTTAAAGTAATTAATTTGCATTTTATTGCATGACGTAAGTATTTGATACATCAGAAAAGCAGAACTTAATATTTGGTACAGAAATCTTTGTTTGCAATTACAGAGCTCATCATACGTTTCCTGTAGGTCTTGACCAGGTTTGCACACACTGCAGCAGGGATTTTGGCCCACTCCTCCATACAGACCTTCTCCAGATCCTTCAGGTTTCGGGGCTGTCGCTGGGCAATACAGACTTTCAGCTCCCTCCAAAGATTTTCTATTGGGTTCAGGTCTGGAGACTGGCTAGGCCACTCCAGGACCTTGAGATGCTTCTTACGGAGCCACTCCTTAGTTGCCCTGGCTGTGTGTTTTGGGTCGTTGTCATGCTGGAAGACCCAGCCACGACCCATCTTCAATGCTCTTACTGAGGGAAGGAGGTTGTTGGCCAAGATCTCGCGATACATGGCCCCATCCATCCTCCCCTCAATACAGTGCAGTCGTCCTGTCCCCTTTGCAGAAAAGCATCCCCAAAGAATGATGTTTCCACCTCCATGCTTCACGGTTGGGGTGGTGTTCTTGGGGTTGTACTCATCCTTCTTCTTCCTCCAAACACGGCGAGTGGAGTTTAGACCAAAAAGCTAAATTTTTGTCTCATCAGACCACATGACCTTCTCCCATTCCTCCTCTGGATCATCCAGATGGTCATTGGCAAACTTCAGATCGGCCTGGACATGCGCTGGCTTGAGCAGGGGGACCTTGCGTGCGCTGCAGGATTTTAATCCATGACGGTGTAGTGTGTTACTAATGGTTTTCTTTGAGACTGTGATCCCAGCTCTCTTCAGGTCATTCACCAGGTCCTGCCATGTAGTTCTGGGCTGATCCCTCACCTTCCTCATGATCATTGATGCCCCACGAGGTGAGATCTTGCATGGAGCCCCAGACCGAGGGTGATTGACCGTCATCTTGAACTTCTTCCATTTTCTAATAATTGCGCAAACAGTTGTTGCCTTCTCACCAAGCTGCTTGCCTATTGTCCTGTAGCCCATCCCAGCCTTGTGCATGTCTACAATTTTATCCCTGATGTCTTTACACAGCTCTCTGGTCTTGGCCATTGTGGAGAGGTTGGAGTCTGTTTGATTGAGTGTGTGGACAGGTGTCTTTTATACAGGTAACGAGTTCAAACGGGTGCAGTTAATACAGGTAATGAGTGGAGAACAGGAGGGCTTCTTAAAGAAAAACTAACAGGTCTGTGAGAGCCGGAATTCTTACTGGTTGGTAGGTGATCAATTACTTATGTCATGCAATAAAATGCAAATTAATTACTTAAAAATCATACAATGTGATTTTCTGGATTTTTGTTTTAGATTCCGTCTCTCACAGTTGAAGTGTACCTATTATAAAAATTACAGACCTCTACATGCTTTGTAAGTAGGAAAACCTGCAAAATCGGCAGTGTATCAAATACAGTGGGGGAAAAAAGTATTTAGTCAGCCACCAATTGTGCAAGTTCTCCCACTTAAAAAGATGAGAGAGGCCTGTAATTTTCATCATAGGTACACGTCAACTATGACAGACAAATTGAGGAAAAAAAATCCAGAAAATCACATTGTAGGATTTTTAATGAATTTATTTGCAAATTATGGTGGAAAATAAGTATTTGGTCAATAACAAAAGTTTCTCAATACTTTGTTATATACCCTTTGTTGGCAATGACACAGGTCAAACGTTTTCTGTAAGTCTTCACAAGGTTTTCACACACTGTTGCTGGTATTTTGGCCCATTCCTCCATGCAGATCTCCTCTAGAGCAGTGATGTTTTGGGGCTGTCGCTGGGCAACACGGACTTTCAACTCCCTCCAAAGATTTGCACAATTGGTGGCTGACTAAATACTTTTTTTCCCAACTGTACTTGTTCTCCCCACTGTATGTGATGTGGGTTTCTGGTGACAAATTTACAAGGCAATGTTTCTTAAACTTACAGAAGACCAAATAATTTCTCAACATACTAAATGTGTTTATTAGTTGGCAGGGGTCTTTACTCTTTTTATGTATTTCTAATACCTGTTTCAGAATTTGTCTGGTAGATGTTTTCTAAAACCGCTTTTCCATCTGTTTGACCAGAAATCAAAGGTTTACTTATGCCAAATGTGTAAGATGGAAAATGGTTGAAAAATGTATCTATCCTGTCATTTCCTAAAAATATATACTCTTACCTTTCGTTTGGCACCCAATTTGATATTCTCCTATGAACTTCACATGTTGGTGCTCATGGATCCTTTTACATGTAAATGACCCCAATTCACATCCTATAGCATACCATGCATGTACTCAAAACGCCACCAAATGAGGACAATCATGAATAATGAAATCATTCTTAAGCATAACCCTGTGTCTTCTTTTGTGTATTTTAGTGCTTGCAGAGCTGCCTGTACCTCAGAACGTGATTCTGCGCACCCTGAACACACAGTACCTACTGATATGGGACTGGGACCAGACGACCACAGGCAACACTGTTACCTTCACTGCAGAGTACATGGCGTAAGTAACCACACACACTCCCACAATATCACACTCTTAGACACACCCTCCACATGTCACATTATAATGCATCTCACATGATACACCCAAACCGTGGCTGGTCTAATATTTCTTGCACTACAATATGAGTATCATGATCTGGTATTTGGCCAAGACTGCCTCTCATCAGTAGCAGGTAGCCTAGGAGTTAAGAACATTGGGCCAGTAACCAAAAGGTTGCTGGTTCAAATACCTGAGTCGACTAGGTGAAAAATCTGTCGATGCCCTAGAGCAAGGCACTCAACCCTAATGGATAAGAATGTCTGCTAAATGACTAAAATGTCAATGTATATCAGTGACCCTCTCTCGCCCCAATAGGAAGTACAAGATGCAGAGGAAGAAGAAGAACTGGAGCCGTGTGTGCGAGAGGACCACAGATACCCACTGTAACTTCACAGGCTCTGATCTGCACTACTTTGGCATGTATGTGCTCAGGGTCCGAGCCAGTGCAGACGGACTCAACTCAGACTGGGTCCTCAAAGACTTCTGCCCTGATAAAGATGGTGAGAGAGAGGCAAGGGGGAAGACACAGACTTGGGCACCGATTTAAAAACGCAAACGAAAGAGATGTAAATGATAAGATAACAAAAGAATAAACACAGTTGCAAAAAGGCAGTCACGTATCTGAGCACAACCACACACCAACATACGTAGATAGACACCCTAACACACAACTAGCACAGGTAGACATCTATCGATCACCAATAATCATTCTCTGGAGTTGGCTCGGCTGTATTCTGACCATTGATGATTATTCATGGTCATATCTGTTCTTCCCCCTGTCTAGCTGTTTTGGGCCCACCGTCCAGGGTGGAGCTGGCTCCTGTGGGGAACCTGCTAGACGTGACCATCTCTGACCCCCTGACCAGCACCCAGGGCTCCATGAAGGAACACGTCCTCTCCCTGTACTACCACATCCTGTACTGGAGCCACTCCGATGACCCTCAGGTACTTTCTTTTCTTACTAGCACTGACTTTTCTGATAGCTACTTTATTGGTGGAAAATGTACTGTGACTGTGATATGTGGTGGCTCACCTAGCTACCTTAAGATGGATGCACTAACTGTAAGTCACTCTGGATAAGAGCATCTACTAAATGACAAAAATGTATATGTTACTTTTTTTGGTTTCTAGCTGAATCTATAATCAGGACAGATTAATTATTATTTGGAACAACTAGACATCCTCAGAGAGAAGTTTAAAATGTACAGACCTTTTAGTTTCTCCAGTTCACACTTCCCTTTTTCTATGGTCCCTTAAGACACCTGGGCCTCCCCTCAGTAACCCTGTGACTGCTATAAAACCCCACACACCAGAAGCCATAACAACATGTAACACTCTAAACCGCAACCTTAAAAAGAACGCACCTGTGTTCTTACTGTGGTTTTCTATGTAACACAATAATGAATAATACCCCTTTCAGAAGTATGGAATGTGGCGCCTTGAATGCTCCTCGGCTACGGCATGTTTGTTTGACTGAAAGGGTACACTACAGCTTTTTAAATGCCGCAACGAAACCTTTTCTGGTGATAGTTTTGAAGCGCCACTGAACAGGCATTTAACTTGTCTGTTAAGGAATGCCGCTTCTGAAGCAGGACTAACATCCATCACTAGGCAACCAGAACTGTCAATCAAATGATCTTGCGCTGCCTGCCTGCTGCATGCGCGCAGACCACTCGCTCCTAACGCCTTGATCACACCGATAGCGTCATTGCGCAAAATAGTACGCAGCATTATCTGGATATGTGTGCAACAAAAATTAAACAATCACCTTCTGCTACCGTTTCTGTCAGGCCGTCTACGCGTACAGTTTGACGCATACGTTAGATAAATCCAAAGTATGCACCACACAGAACGCACTGCAACTGCCTCTGCAACGCAATGCTTCAAGGCAAACGCAGCGTTCCATTGGAAATGAATGTACTTCTGGTGTACCAAAATGCAATGACGCTGTCAGTGTGATCGAGGCATAAGAAAAGTACTTTGAAGTTCATAAAATACAATGACTTACCAATGACTTACCAATAAAAAAACAGCAGAATAACAACACAACAGCACATCAATCTGCAACGTTTATTGTTGTAAGGGAAACAATACCGAACATTCTATGCTGGAGCAGACTTCTACTGTCTGAAAGGTACAGAGGCTTCTGATGCGGCATAAAAAAAAAAAAAATTGTCTGAAAGGTTATCAATTGTCACTATCGACCCGTTACTGTAGCGGCGTCCTATGTAAGGGGTTTAAGTCAAGGGGTATGAATACTTTCTGAATGCACTGTAATTGTGTGACGGTGGGGATGCAGGGTTGTTCCAAATGAAACAACTACAAGTGTGCTTGCTCTAATTCCAGCTAGACAAGCTCAAAAAAGGACCTTATAGTTGAAGCCTCTTCTTTGAATCATAAAAGTGCATTGAAATTGCTTAGGGACTGTGCACTTTGGAGAGGTGTGTGTGTGTGTGGCACTTGGAGACACCAGTTAGACCTCTCACTCAAACCCTTATAATTAGTTTTTCTTATGTTGCACCTACCTCACATGTTCCAGGAATATTCTTATAATGTTACTGAATGTATCCAGAGTATTTTTAGATGTAGTTATCAACAAATGCGGCAAAAATTACAATAAATGTAAAATGCACATAAAATCAAGTGTAATGGGCTCCCGAGTGGCACAGTGGTCTAAGGTACTGCATTGCAGTGCTTGAGGCGTCACTACCGACCCAGGTTCGTTCCCGGGCTGTGTCACAACCGGCCGTGACCGGGAGTCCCATTGGGTGGCGCACAATTGGCCCAGCGTCGTCCGGGTTAGGGGAGGGTTTGGCCGGGGGGGCTTTACTTGGCTCATTGCGCTCTAGCGACTCCTTGTGGCGGGCCGGGCGCCTGCAGGCTGACTTCGATCATCAGTTGAATGGTGTTTCCTCCGACACATTGGTGCGGCTGGCTTCCGGGTTAAGTGGGCGGGTGTTAAGAAGCGCCGTTTGGCGGGTCATGTTTCGGAGGACACATGACTCGACCTTCGCCTCTCCCGAGCCCGTTGGGGAGTTGCAGCGATAAGACAAGATCTCAATTGGATATCACGAAATTGGGGAGAAAAAGGGGGTAAAAAATTATAAATAAATATAAAGTGTAATGTTAGGATTCAGTCTTGTCAGGTGAACTGTTGTGTAACTCACCTTTTGGTCTAATAATAACTGTTCCCTTTAAATGGCTACCATGGTTATGCATACAGTGAGGGAAAAAAGTATTTGTACGTTTGCCCACTGACAAAGAAATTATCAGTCTATAATTTTAATGGTAGGTTTATTTGAACAGTGAGAGGCAGAATAACAACAAAAAAATCCAGAAAAACGCATGTCAAAAATTGATTAGCATTTTAATGAGGGAAATAAGTATTTTACCCCCTCTCAATCAGAAAGATTTCTGGCTCCCAGGTGTCTTTTATACAGGCAACAAGCTGAGATTAGGAGCACAATCTTAAAGGGAGTGCTCCTAATCTCAGCTTGTTACCTGTATAAAAGACACCTGTCCACAGAAGCAATCAATCAGATTCCAAACTCTCCACCATGGCCAAGACCAAAGAGCTTTCCAAGGATGTCAGGGACAAGATTGTAGACCTACACAAGGCAGGAATGGGCTACAAGACCATCGCCAAGCAGCTTGGTGAGAAGGTGACAACAGTTGGTGCGATTATTCGCAAATGGAAGAAACACAAAATAACTGTCAATCTCCCTCGGCCTGGGGCTCCATGCAAGATCTCACCTCGTGGAGTTGCAATGATCATGAGAACGGTGAGGAATCAGCCCAGAACTACACGGGAGGATCTTGTCAATGATCTCAAGGCATCTGGGACCATAGTCACCAAGAAAACAATTGGTAACACACTACGCCGTGAAAGACTGAAATCCTGCAGCGCCCGCAAGGTCCCCCAGCTCAAGAAAGCACATATACAGGGCCGTCTGAAGTTTGCCAATGAACATCTGAATGATTCAGAGGAGAACTGGGTGGAAGTGTTGTGGTCAGATGAGACCAAAATCAAGCTCTTTGGCACCAACTCAACTCGCTATGTTTGGAGGAGGAGGAATGCTGCCTATGACCCCAAGAACACCATCCCCACCGTCAAACATGGAGGTGGAAACATTATGCTTTGGGGGTGTTTTTCTGCTAAGGGGACAGGACAACTTCACCGCATCAAAGGGACGATAGACGGGGCCATGTACCGTCAAATCTTGGGTGAGAACCTCCTTCCCTCAGCCAGGGCATTGAACATGGGTCGTTGATGGGTATTCCAGCATGACAATGACCCAAAACACACGGCCAAGGCAACAAAGGAGTGGCTCAAGAAGAAGCACATTAAGGTCCTGGAGTGGCCTAGCCAGTCTCCAGACCTTAATCCCATAGAAAATCTGTGGAGGGAGCTGAAGGTTCGAGTTGCCAAACGTCAGCCTCGAAACCTTAATGACTTGGAGAAGATCTGCAAAGAGGAGTGGGACAAAATCCCTCCTGAGATGTGTGCAAACCTGGTGGCAAACTACAAGAAACGTCTGACCTCTGTGATTGCCAACAAGGGTTTTGCCACCAAGTACTAAGTCATGTTTTGCAGAGGGGTCAAATACTTATTTCCCTCATTAAAAATCTAATCAATTTATAACATTTTTGACATGTGTTTTTCTGGATTTATTTGTTGTTATTCTGTCTCTTACTGTTTAAATTAACCTACCATTAAAATTATAGACTGATCATGTCTTTGTCAGTGGGCAAACGTACAAAATCAGCAGGGGATCAAATACTTTATTCCCTCACTGTATACTTTTCATATTTTTTACATTTACATCATTTAGCAGACGCTCTTATCCAGAGCGACTTACAAATTGGTGCATTCAACTTATGATAGCCAGTGGAACAACCACTTTTTTTTTTTTTTTTATTGGTGTGGGAAGAAGGATTACTTAATACTATTCCAGGTATTCCTTAAAGAGGTAGGGTTTCAAGTGTCTCCGGAAGGTGGTCAGTGACTCCGCTGTCCTGGCGTCGTGGGGGAGCTTGTTCCACCATTGGGGTGCCAGAGCAGCAAATAGCTTTGACTGGGCTGAGCGGGAACTGTGCTTCCGTAGAGGTAGGGGAGCTAGCAGGCCAGAGGTGGATGAACGTAGTGCCCTCGTTTGGGTGAAGGGTCTGATCAGAGCCTGAAGGTAAGGAGGTGCCGTTCCCCTCACAGCTCCGTAGGCAAGCACCATGGTCTTGTAGCAGATGCGAGCCTCAACTGGAAGCCAGTGGAGTGTGCGGAGGAGCAAGGTGACATGATAGAACTTGGGAAGGTTGAACACCAGACGGGCTGCGGCGTTCTGGATAAGTTGTAGGGGTTTAATGGCAGGGAGCCCAGCCAACAGCGAGTTGCAGTAATCCAGACGGGAGATGACAAGTGCCTGGATTAGGACCTGTGCCGCTTTCTGTGTAAGGTAGGGTCGTACCTGCAGGATCGGGTCACCGCTTTGATGTTAGCGGAGAACGACAGGGTGTTGTCCAGGGTCACGCCAAGGTTCTTTGCACTCTGAGAGGAGGACACAATGGAGTTGTCAACCGTGATGGCGAGATCATGGAGCAGGCAGTCCTTCCCCGGGAGGAAGAGCAGCTCCGTCTTGCCGAGGTTCAGCTTGAGGTGGTGATCCGACATCCACACTGATATGTCTGCCAGACATGCAGAGATGCGATTCGCCACCTGGTTATCAGAAGGGGGAAAGGAGAAAATTAATTGTGTGTCGTCTGCGTAGTAATGATAGGAGAGACCATGTGAGGATATCACAGAGCCAAGTGACTTGGTGTATAGAGAGAATAGGAGAGGGCCTAGAACTGAGCCCTGGGGGACACCAGTGGTGAGAGCACGTGGTGCGGAGACAGATTCTCACCACGCCACCTGGTAGGAGCGACCTGTCAGGTAGGACGCAATCCAAGAGTGAGCAGCGCCGGAGATGCCCAACTCGGAGAGGGTGGAGAGGAGGATCTGATGGTGGAGAGGAGGTCTAGCGTATTGCCTGCCTTGTGAGTAGGGGGGGACGGTGAGAGGGTGTCAAAAGTGGAAATGAGTGGAAAGAAGGAGGCAGAGAGAAATTAGTCAAAGGCAGACGTAGGGAGGTTAAAGTCACCCAGAACTGTGAGGGGTGAGCCATCCTCAGGAAAGGAACTTATCAAGGCGTCAAGCTCATTGATGAACTCTCCAAGGGAACCTGGAGGGCGATAAATGACAAGGATGTTAAGCTTGAATGGGCTAGTGACTGTGACAGCATGGAATTCAAATGAGGAGATAGACAGATGGGTCAGGGGAAAAAGAGAGAATGTCCACTTGGGAGAGATGAGGATTCCTGTACCAACGCCGTGCTGACCAGATGCTCTCGGGGTATGCGAGAACACATGGTTAGACGAGGAAAAAACAGTAGGAGTAGCAGTGTTTTCTGTGGTAATCCATGTTTCCGTCAGCGCCAAGAAGTCGAGGGACTGGAGGGTAGCATAGGCTGAGATGAACTCTGCCTTGTTGGCCGCAGAACGCCAGTTCCAGAGGCTGCCAGAGACCTGGAACTCCACGTGGGTCGTGCACGCAGGGACCACCAGATTAGAGTGGCAACAGCCACGTGGTGTGAAGCGTTTGTATGGCCTGTGCAGAGAGGAGAGAACAGGGATAGACAGACACATAGTTGACAGGCTACAGAAAAAGGCTACAATAATGCAAAGGAGATCGGAATGAAATGAACTAAACATCTGGGAAAGCGAGAGAGCGGGGCCTCACTTACGTTTCACTGAAACACTCAAATATAACTCTTCCAACTTCCACTTTAGAAATTATAATTGTTGTAAACTACAGCTGTTCAATGTTTACTAGGAATAGACTCTAACTTAGTTTATTCAGCTAACTTGGTACAGTATTCTTCCGTGAAAACCGTCCAGGGCACCGAATCCTATGACGCCAAAGCCAACTAGCATGCCAGCCTCCAATAAAATGGTTTAGCACCAATACTTGGTTACAACAAACCACCAGTGTGTTAACACGCCAAGCAGATAATTCGTGTCCGTGTCTAACGTTGTGTAAAGTTTTGGGTTAGTTTTGACAGTTTGAGTGAGTACGTCGTCAACTTATTCAGCCAGTTAGTTAGCTAGAATAGTTAGCATACTAGCTAGCCATTGCTCTCTGCCAACGAGCTAACCCCTCCTCCCACGGCGCGAACACACAGAGAGCCAAGCTAACGTTAACTAGTCACCCATGTCCCGAATTCCCTTGAACGACTCTGGTTACCATTATGTAAAAATAAAACAAAAGTATATGTAGGTTATAACTTACCCTTTGTAGCTACTGTTAGCCAGTTAAGTGCAAAGCTAGCCACTGACTCGATTCAGCCACAGTTGCTAATAGTTACCAGTAGCTACCCGCTAGCTAGCTAGCTTTATTGGTCCAGGTAGTGAGTTAGCTAGCCTCGTGCTTCACCGGGATCAGCCGAATACAATACTTACCTACAATAATTACCTACAATAACCTAGATAAACTACCTACAATACATAACTACAATACCTACCTACCTACAATCTAAATACATGGTTTAAGCTTTAGTCGACACCATAGAAGCCAAGCTTACCTCCCGCCAGAGAGAGACAAAACCTCACCTGACCCGACGCTGTCCCATCTATCAGTGGTTCTTCTGTAAGATTTCAATTTAGCCCTATCCATATAGGACAATTCCCACGAGTGTAAAGGGTTAAATAAAAAAAGCGTATTTATTGTAAAAAGTAAAGCCAACACGTTTCGGATTTTGGCCTTCTTCAGGGTTTTTATTCTGAAAGGTTTTGAAGTGTCGGACAGGGCATTCAAATGAGCATCGGATTGAATGCAAAGCTCTTATTACATATTCTCTGTAACTCCCCCAGGACTTCAACATCAATAGTATCTGCTCTTCTGCTATCTGTACCTGTGGAACACCAGAGATATATGATTCCTTTTTAACCCACAGGTTGTTTGCCCTACCTCAGTGTTTCGTAAACCTCTCCTGGAGTACCTCAGCCATTCCACTTACTTGATGTATTCCAGGACTAGCACAGCTGATTCAAGTAAGGAAGGGCTTGGTGATTAGTTCACCAGTGGAATCAACTGTGCTAGTACTGCATTACATCAAGTAAGTGGAATGGCTGGAGGTACTCCAGGAGAGGTTTGGGAAACACAGCCCTATCTTATTTCACTATGCAAAAACCTCTTAACATGTTTTTTTTGTATGACCAGGGTCTGAAGCCAAAAGTGGTGGACTCGAGCAACAACCTGGTGACGCTGCCTGAGCTGGAGGCCTGGACGTGGTACTGTGTCATGGTTCAGTCTCGCTACGACTACTACAACAAGACCAGCAGCTACACAGCACCCCAGTGCATGCAGACAGAAGGTAAAGACTTTGAGAACGGTTTTGAAATAGCATGACGTGAGTGTGTGTGTAACCTACCTGTATCAGTGTGAGTAAGTATACTGTATGAGTGTGTGTGTTTTTGCTTTACAGGAGTATTTACACATTAATATAGGCACTGTAATGTAGTGTGAAGGACACTGTTAAGTGTGATTGTGTCTTCATCCACAGGTGACACCCTGTGCTGGCAGATTTTCCTGGTCTCCCTGGTAGCGTGTATCCTGCTGGTGCTGCTGCCCTACGCCTTCTTTAGGTTCTACAGAGTCCTCAAAAACACCTTGTACCCCTCCATCCAGCTGCCTGCACACATCCAGGAGGTAGGCTATACATGGGCTAGCGCACACACACAACCATTTCAAATCAAATCAAATGTTACTTGTCACATACGCCGAATACAACAGGTGTAGACTTTACCGTGAAATTCTTATTTACAAGCCCTTAACCAACAATGCAGTTTTAAGAAAATAGTTTAAAAAATATTTACTAAATAAAATAAAATAAAAAAAGTAACACAATAAAATAACAATAACGAGGCTATATGCAGGGGGTACCGGTACCAAGTCAATGTGTGGGGGTACAGGTTAGTCAAGGTAATTTAGGTAATTTGTACATGTACAGTGGCTTGCGAAAGTATTCACCCCCCTTGGCATTTTTCCTGTTTTGTTGCCTTACAACCTGAAATTAAAATTGATTATTTGGGGGTTTGTATCATTTGATTTACACAACACGCCTACCACTTTGAAGATGCAAAATACTTTTTATTGTGAAACAAACAAGAAATAAGACAAAAAAAGAGAACTTGAGCGTGCATAACTACTTTATTTAACTAATTATGTGACTTCTGAAGGTAATTGGTTGAACCAGATCTTATTTAGGAGTTTCATAGCAAAGGGGGTGAATACATATGCACGCACATCTTTTCTGTAAATTTTTTTATAGAATTTTTTTTCACTTCACCAATTTGGACTACTTTGTATGTCCATTACATGAAATCCAAATAAAAATCCATTTAAATGACAGGTTGTAATGCAACAAAATTGGAAAAACGTCAAGGGGGTTGAATACTTTTACAAGGCACTGGTGGTAGGGGTAAAGTGACTATGCATAGATAATAAACAGCGAGTAGCAGCAGGCCTCACAGTGGCTAGCATGTACACAACAGTAATATCTAGGTGGTGTAACATCACCCTATCTGTGGGTGGGTGTGTGTCTCAGGGGGTGTTTCAATAAATTGAGTAATCGTATGCTGCGCCCTCTTCCCCCCCCCCCCCCCCCCCCCCAGTTTCTCTGTGACTCCTCAACCAGCTCTGAAATGCCCATCCTACTCACTCCTGAGTCGGAGCTGTGCTATAATAATCTGAGCGTGTGCCCTGAGGTGGTGCTGCTGGAGATCCACATCCCTCCTCCCTTCACAGCTCCCCCCTCAGGGCTGGAGCAGGACAGCAGCAGGCATAGCCGCCAGGGCAGTGAAGGTAGTGGGGACTCTGGGGTCTACTCCACAGAGGGAGGCTCCGCCCAGCAGGGTCGTAGTGGTCGGGGTGTGCCAATCAGGAGAGACAAGGAAGTGGACTCCTGGCAGACGCTGGAGCAGGACAAGCTGGAGATGGGGGGAGAGCCCGGAGACTAAGGAGTTCTGGACGAGGGGGTTTTGGACGTGTGCGTCTGAGGAGAGATGGAGAGAGCGAGAAGAGAGCTGGGTGGAAATACCGTAGGTGATGGTTGGAGAATTGTAGTAGGGGAAAGGAGAAGGTTCGCATAGAATGTTCTCCAAAGTCTCTGAGTCTTTCTGCCCCTCCTCAAAAGACACTTTGAAGTTGATGACATCTCGCAGATTAAAGGACACATCTCAAAAGTAAGGGTGTAATGGTAAACATATTCATACCGACTCGTTCGGTATGGGGACCTCTTCTGTCCGCACTGTGAAGCCGAATGAATACAAAAACAAAACAAATGGATATATATATATCTCACTAGGCCTATAGGCTATGCATACGCTGCATTGTATGCCTCTTGGGTAAATCTGAGCAACAACTAAAAAAATCATTTTAGGCTATTCTGTTAAAACAACTATAGCCTACAGTATGTTCACATTGTAATTAAAATGTGAATCTTAATTGCCTGTCCTTTTGTGAGGCGCAGCCAGGAACTAGTTCAGTACGATGGCGAGTGGTGGGGTCAATAAACCAGGAGGATTCTCCATCATCGTTTAAATCTCCAGTTTGGGAACATTTTGGCTTCCCAGTAAGATTATAGCGGGGATGGATAGAGAGAGTATGTCGCCACTGCTAAAAGAGAATCGCCTATGCAGCTGCCAACACCTCAAAAATGTTGACACAGTTACGCCGACATCACCCCAATATTCCTACCACCAGAGCAAGACGGCAACGCAAAAAAACAACACAACTTCGTCTCCCCTCTATATTCAAGCCGCACTTCGCAGCGGACTCTGACCGGGCCAAAATCAATTACAAGAGCGATAGGTATGTTTATAGCCACGGAAATGCGCCCATTCTCGGTGGTTGAGAAGAATCAGGGGTTTTCAGCACTTCATGAAAGTGCTCGAGCCACATTACGAACTTCACCCACTCGCAGCCATTTCAGCAAATGGGTAGTACCCACTCTACAGTGAGGGGGAAAAAGTATTTGATCCCCTGCTGATTTTGTACGTTTACCCACTGACAAAGAAATGATCAGTCTATAATTTTAATGGTAGGTTTATTTGAACAGTGAGAGACAGAATAACCAAAAAAATATCCAGAAAAACGCATGTCAAAAATGTTATAAATTGATTCGCATTTTAATGAGGGAAATAAGTATTTGACGCCCTCGCAATCAGAAAGATTTCTGGCCCCCAGGTGTCTTTTATACAGGTAACGAGCTGAGATTAGGAGCACACTCTTAACCCTTGTGCTTTGCTGGAAAAAAATGACATCCATTATGTTACGGGTCAAATTGACCCGCACAGTTTAAACACACTCAAGACAGTCAAAGAATTAAGTAAAAACAGAAAAAACTTTATTTTGTCTTATCAGACATTTCAGAAAGAAGAAATACAATACTTTTTATTTTTTTTAAACAATATTTAAGAACTATTTGTTAAACATATTTCCTTTCTCACAAACAAGATTTTTCAGTTTCCCCAAGTAGGTTTTTTCCCCCCCTATTGGTCCATATTATCCCTTCAGTCTTTCTCTCTACATGTTGAACACAATGTGTGTGTGTGCTTTCTGCAGATGTATTTATTGCATTCTACACAAGTGGTGCTTGTTTTACTGTCTTGTCGAGGGGGGCAGAGCTGGCATCTTTTCCGTTTCTTGCCACTGCCTGTATCCACTGGATCCATTTCTGGTTGATTGGAGGCATGTGTTGATGGTCCAGCTTGAATTTTCTGGACGGCAGATGCAGCTGCTGTCGACCGAGGAGGCCGGACTCTCCTCTGGATCTTGGGAGTGATGAGAGCTTTGCCGAGCTCCTCTAGGAAAAGCCGGCGTCGGTACAATTTGCCACCATTCCATTGCTGGTTGATTTCAGTCCACAGGACATAGGCATTGTAAGCAGACACATCCACAATGTTGTAGAAAATCACCAAAGGCCAGCGGGCAGTCATGCGCTGACAACTATATGTTGCTGTGACTTTATCCAAATTGTCAACTCCTCCTTTGGTGGAATTGTAGTCCAGTATTATTTGTGGCTTGATGTCCTCTCTTGCACTCAGCGATGCATCTTTGTGCATTGTGCTCATTACAAGAACATTCTTGTTCTTCTTTGGGCAGTATGAAACAACAGTTGCATTTTCAGAGAAAGCAAATTTAGAGGAATGCACAGTTCTGCCCTGCATTTTCAGAAGCTCACTGGGAAGTTCAGGTTTGTTTTTTCTGATTGTTCCAACCATGGTCAGCTTTCTCTTCTGTAGTTCAACACCAAGGCGGTAGGATGTGAAGAAGTTGTCACACGTGATGTTATGACCTTGCAGCCCTTCACTCATGTCCAGCACCACCCGCATCCCCTGGTTTTTCTCAGGCACTCCGCCGGGTGGCTTCCCAGTGTAAACTTGCATATTCCATGCATAGCTTGATGTGGCATCACATGCTGCCCATATTTTGATGCCATATTTTGCAGGCTTGTTTGGCATATACTGTCTGAAGGGACAACGTCCTCTGAATGGAACAAGGCGTTCATCAACTGTAACATGAGGACTGGGATTGTACAGTAACGGTAGAATTTCCACCCATTTATCCCATACATCTCTGATTGCAGCTAGTTTGTCTCTTTCACGTCGACCCGGTCTGGTATCACGGTTATCAAAGCGAATCACCCGAGAAATTATGTGGAATTCTTGTAGAGACATTGTTGCCCGAAATATTGGCCTTCCATTCTCTTCATTCCACAGGCTGGCCGTTGCTTCTCCGTTTGACCGGTAGACTCCAGCTAATATGAGCAATCCAATGTATGCATGCAAGTCAATCCGATCCAGTGGCTTCCAGTTCTCTTGAAACACACGGCTCCCCTCCAAGTTGGTCATGTCCAGAACAATCTTCTCTATTGCTTGGGGTAAAAAGAGCTCAAAAGCTGATTGTATGTCATGGACTCGAGTGACAGCAAATCGTGTAGGTCCTGGAACCATTTTTATTACATTGGAAGCTGAGAGTCTACCTTGACCTCGTTGTGGTGACGGTGACCATTCAATATGACCATCTTTAGACTTCCATGTCTTCTCTTCTCTTGATGATGCTTGTTGCATGCTCTGTCTCTCATCTGATGTAGGGGATGGTACGGCAGACTCCTCCTCTGAATCCTCTTCAATGAAGACAAAATCTGGATCATCAACAGCATTGTCCTCTATCTCTGAAATATCCTCTGTCTCTGAAACCTCTTCTTCTTTTTCACTGTCACAGTCCAGAATTTGTGATAAGACTTCATTGATTGAAAATCTTTTGGAGCTCATTTTTGAGTGTCTGTGTCAGGGACCTGCTGCTCTCACACTGAGGAGAAGCTTGGGAAAGCCCTTTTTAACCCAAACACAATTCTAAAAGTGCAACCAGGACCAGTCAAAACAAAATACATCAAAGACACTTTTTTGTTTTGCACCTGTGCAAATATATATACACATGAAAGCCTCCGGGTCAAAATGACCCACAACATCATGTTTGTATACAAAATGTACACAGACATTCCACAACACATCAGTGTGTCCACATTTTGCAGTTAGGTTCATGACCCTAAATGAGGAAAAGTCATGTAATTTCATGGCGAAAAAGAGTGGTTAACTAGTATTTTAGACAACGCAAAAGTGGAAACGGGTCAAATTGACCCACAACATAACAGGAGGGTTAAAGGGAGTGCTCCTAATCTCAGTTTGTTACCTGTATAAAAGACACCTGTCCACAGAAGCAATCAATCAATCAGATTCCAAACTCTCCACCATGACCAAGACCAAAGAGCTCTCCAAGGATGTCAGGGACAAGATTGTAGACAAGGCTGGAATGGGCTACAGGACCATCGCCAAGCAGCTTGGTGAGAAGGTGCGATTATTCGCAAATTAAAGAAACACAAAAGACTGTCAATCTTCCTCAGCCTGGGGCTCCATGCAAGATCTCACCTCGTGGAGTTGCAATGATCATGAGAACGGTGAGGAATCAGCCCAGAACTACACGGGAGGATCTTGTCAATGATCTCAAGGCAGCTGGGACCATAGTCACCAAGAAAACAATTGGTAACACACTACGCTGTGAAGGACTGAAATCCTGCAGCGCCCACAAGGTCCCCCTGCTCAAGAAAGCACATATACAGGCCCGTATGAAGTTTGCTAATGAACATCTGATTGATTCAGAAGAGAACTGGGTGAAAGTGTTGTGGTCAGATGAGACCAAAATTGAGCTCTTTGGCATCAACTCAACTCGCCGTGTTTGGAGGAGGAGGAATGCTGTCTATGACCCCAAGAACACCATCCCCACCGTCAAACATGGAGGTGGAAACATTATGCTTTGGGGGTGTTTTTCTGCTAAGGGGACAGGACAACTTCACCGCATCAAAGGAACGATGGACAGGGCCATGTACCGTCAAATCTTGGGTGAGAACCTCCTTCCCTCAGCCAGGGCATTGAAAATGGGTCGTGGATGGGTATTCCAGCATGACAATGACCCAAAACACACGGCCAAGGCAACAAAGGAGTGGCTCAAGAAGAAGCACATTAAGGTCTTGGAGTGAACTAGCCAGTCTCCAGACCTTGATCCCATAGAAAATCTGTGGAGAGAACTGAAAGTTTGAGTTGCCAAACGTCAGCCTCGAAACCTTAATGACTTGGAGAAGATATGCAAAGAGGAGTGGGACAAAATCCCTCCTGAGATGTGTGCAAACCTGGTGGCCAACTACAAGAAACGTCTGACCTCTGTGATTGCCAACAAGGGTTTTGCCACCAAGTACTAAGTCATGTTTTGCAGAGGGGTCAAATACTTATTTCCCTTATTAAAATGCAAATCAATTTATAACATTTTTGACAAGCGTTTTTCTGGAGTTTTTTGTTGTTATTCTGTCTCTCACTGTTCAAATAAACCTACCATTAAAATTATAGACTGATCATGTCTTTGTCAGTGGGCAAACGTACAAAATCAGCAGGGGATCAAATAC